TTATAAAAGATTGTAAAATATAGCTCAGATTTTCGTACTTTCAGGAAAAATATACAAATCTATCACAAAGATGCATCATTTACAATTAGGATCCTATTTCTGGATACTGCTTCAAGCACACGTGCATACTTAAATACCAAGCAGAGTAGATCATTCACTAAAAATATATTTACTTAAATGTATTTTATTATTTATTTACTTAAAATATTATTATATATTTACTTAAAAAATATATATATATATATTTATTTATTTCTCTTCCAATATCAAGGACCTATCAGACAATATCAGAAATTAAATTGTACATTAAACAATTTTCCAGTAATTAATTAGTTTCCTACATCGAGGATTCTGATTATTCTATACTTTATTTCGAAATTAGAAATAATCCAATGACAATCAAGATATATATCAGATATTCTTTTACGTGATATTGTTATTATCATCGATATCGATAATTCGAAGGCACTTACTATCGATGCCTGAGTCCAATTGAATCGCTTCGATCAGTTTCTGCAGTCGATCGATGTACAATATCATGTGCTCGTCCTTGGAAATACTGCGACGTTGTATACCACAATTGCAGAGTGGACACAGTGCATTTTTATTTTGCAATACCATTTGAATGCACGCACGGCAGAATCGATGGCCGCACAGGGTTTTTATCGGGTCGGTTATAGTATGCAAACTGAAACAGAAAAACACACGACATATTTGAAATAACGATGTTAAAAAAAAAGTAATAAATTAAATTTAAATAAATTGAACGAAAATGGTGTAAATCCAATTGAAATTAAATGCAAACATTCGAATTCACAATATTATGTATTTTCAAACAATTTGTATTCAAATGAAATGTCCAATGTTTATTGGACGTAAAAACTCAGTGCGATGAGGTTAAGAATAGTTTTACTAAATTGACCACTCACGATATTTGATATATACCATGAATAGTGACTGCAAAAAGTGTTTGCACATCATTGTATTTATTCCAATATCAGTAGATGGCTAATTGATAGCTGATACAAAGTTACATACACAAAGTGGAAAGAATATATTTTTTGAATGAAGTATAACTATCTCATTAAATATTTGCTACATCATTTTCATTTACTTCAATTACTAATTAATTTTCCATTATGTAAACATGAAACACAAAATGAAAGCATGTTATATTAATATAAGTACAATGAAAGATTAACAATGATCTTGAATTGATCAGATAATAATTCAATGGACATCATAATTTTAAGCATATATATATTTTACATATATTTCTGACAAGACAATCAGAAGAAACAGTTTGCAAAATCAAGAGATCAAAGAAATGTATTTATCTTTCATTCAAAGCAAGGGTCAACCAAACATAACCTACAACCATAACAAATCAAAATGAATTACATGTCGATGGGCAGTGATCTCAAAGTGTATTGTGCATTACGCGTTTTAAATTTAACAATTACTAGTTTGTTGATTCCTTGATTTTGTTGGGTTAACTTACAAATATTGAAATAACAATTTCTTTGAACTCACCAAATTGTGCACTGCAAGCATTTCTGCATGTTTTTAATTTCTTCTGACAGCTTGTCAGCGATGTTGAGCATTTGTTCCATCATTTTTCTGTTGTTACGAGCGTCACATCAGAAATACCTACCACGAATAAATTAAATTTACATTTCCGAAACACGTCATAAGCGCGGGAATCACATTACGTCTCACCACCACACGGTTTATCATTCTTAGAAACAATTACGTGTTTGCGAATATTATCAACAGGTCTTTTATTTCGGATTCGACCACGTACTGCGGGGGCGTTGCAATCGATCGTTCAATGCGCACAAAATTCAAATCTTTCGCAGTATCATTGATTAACTGTAAGTAGTCAGTCACTGGTGGTACATTACTCTTTATTTCGAGTTTCTGAGGTTCGAACGCGAATTCGGGCAAATCTGTGCTTCCTTTTTATTTGAAGACTTGCAATATATACACTGGTAAGAATCTATATACATGAGTATAACCTACTTTTATTGTCTCCTTCTACGTATCAAATTCGTCAGAACTCCATTACTTAAGAAATAATTAATAAGCAAATTAAAGTGAATTAACAAATTACAAGATATGTGTAATTTCATTTTGTTGGCTGAAAACAAAAAGTTTCTATCATTTGTACATGTACAGTGAGATTACCGATACATTCCCTGTTTAGAATTTTTGACGGGAGAGCGCGCTGATGTAGCAGCGTCCAACTTTGATACTCGATAAAGGTGGGAAGCCATAGACTATGTAAGAAGTTGTATAATTCAACCAGATTGCCGCGGGACGTAATCGAATCCTTTCAAATCGTGTTTCCATTTAAATTAATCCACTCTGATTAAACGTCTTCGCGGAAATTGCGTGTTAAAATTAATCGGGAAGACAGTTTCATTGAATCGTCTCATCAGAGGTATTTCTTTCTAACTTACTTACAAGACAATTCTTGTCGAAAGTTTATCGTGAATATCTTAATATAAGATAATATAATATCTTGATATTATCACAAGAGACGTAAGATCAGTCAACGACATTGCTGAATTTTAAAATTGCCGCCCTGTGAAAAACGAAAAATGTAACCTATCATATCTTTTACTTTTCCTGTAGTTTTTCACATTCGTTTTGGCAAGATTGTAATTGACATCTCCTCTTTTGTAGAAATCATCGTACAAATGATTAAGCCAGTGTCATCGAGCTCGACCAACAGACAGAAAAGACAATATTCAGCGTAACATGAGTTCCGCAGAAACGACTTGTTGATGACGTTATGGGGTGGATCTTCCTTGCCAGTACTTTACTTTTCTGCTTATGCGGTAAGTCTAGACTACACACGATACATCCGTATTTTACAACTCTACGATTTATTAACGTACAACGGGGAAGCATCACGATTCCCGAGGCAGGCTCAATTTTGAAATAGGCGATTGTTTCTGGCGCCAAATTTAAATATGATTAAGGGCGTCGTATTTTGCGTTTGGCAAAGAATTCTTGCAAACGGCTGCTGCATTTTGTAACTAGTCTAGTAACTAGTTATCACGGGACTAGTCCACGACGGGCTTTCTCAAGGCGGAAAGTTATCGTTTTGAAAAATTTAATTAAGTCTGAGAAGCAGTTGGAGTTCATTCCTCCAGAGATTAATTACGCGTACTAGTCTCGCTGCGCTCACGCGATAAGAAACTTCAGAAAAGGCATTACTGCATCGAGCGTTGAGATTTTGTTACAGACGCCGGAATGAAACGAGAAGATTGAAGTCAATTAAAATTTTCAATGCTTCGAGCCTCGGCGAATCATACCATGATTTATGCGCTTTCAATTCGTTCCGAGAGACTTTTCACAATTACGTTACAGAGATACTAACAAAAGCTAATATTGAAAATACGAAGCGATGAGAGTTTAAATTTTAAAATAATTTCCATTCAATAACCGGATGTAAATATATATATATATATATATATTTTTTTTTT